CCGGAAAAGCCCTTTTTCCGGAAAAGCGTCCGTGGCCAATGTAGACGCGCTTTTCCAGAAAAGAGCCCCAATCGTCATTTCTGCGATTGGGGCTTTTTTCCGGAAAAAAGTACTGGGCTGTCTACACTGGCCCTTTTCCGGAACAGTGTTCCGGAATAAGGACTTATGCCCGAGCGGGAGCAGAATAGTTTTTCCGGAATAGCGGCTGATTTTGTACAGTTCAACGTCGTTGCTTTTCTGGAAATTTAAGGGCCAGTGTAGACAGCTCGCAGCTTATTCCGGAAAAGCGGCTGATTTTCCAGAATAAGTGGCCCAGTGTAGATACAGCCAATAAGTGTACTCTCTATGCTACCATCTAAATTTTTTATGAAGATATTGAACAGAACCAGTCCCAAAATAGACCCCTGCGGAACCCCACTTGTTATGCCCTTCCAGCATGACTGAACTGCTAATAACTACTCTCTGAGAATGATTATCCAGCCAGTTATTCTAAGAACAAGCTGAACGAAGCCTGTCAGAAATGTTCTAGGTTTATTTGGTCCTGTTCAACACAGGGGGCTGGACTTGATGATCCCTCAAGGTCCTTTCCAGACCTACATTTCTTTGATTCTATGCCTACTGAAGATAGCTATACAAATGGTAGTAACCCCTCACCCCATCCCAGCACCTGGCCACTTCATTCTTTGATTAATAGAAGATGAAAAATATCACATAATGCTTGGTAGACCAACTTGCTGAAGCTGAACAGGCAGTGTCATCCTGGTTGGGGACCCGAACTGAGGGTGAGAATCATACAGCAGCTGGGCAAATCTCTTTGGGGTGGCTACGGGTGAGTTGGTCCTGCTGTGAGATTAAGACTTCAGTTCTGGCCCATGCCGGAATCAGGTGTCCAAGAGCCATGTGACAACTGCCTAGCAATAGTGGTGACTACAGTAAGAAGGTTTGCCCTTCCTCCAGTAGGAGAGATGAAAGGGGTGGTGTCCTCTTCACAGAAGCCTGCAGAAATATAGGTGTCTGGGCCTCCCTGAGGGGCACGAGCAGACAACTTTTCACCAGAGGGAGAGAGGTTGTCTGCAGAGCGTACTGTGGAGCAGAAAGGACTAGCCATCCATTCTACTCTTCTGGGCTAATGGTCAAACCCTGCTGTCCAGGAGTGGAACTTTTCTCATGTGGGAGGGCTAAAGGGCCATAATTTGTTTCATGTCTAAATCAGCCACACACCAAAAGAGGAAAGTTTATTCTAAACCCGTGAATGCAAATGTATTAATTTGAGACCTAGAGGGTGGAATAAGTGTTGCCAGAGAGCAGTCAAGCTGGAGGTGTTCCCTCCAAAAGAAACCCTGCTTCCAGACCAATTCCACAAGCCAAATACACAAAGAACTGGACCTTAACTTCATTCACAAGTTTAATTCTTATGCTAATGGTTTGAATTGTGTAGTTGATTAACCGATAAGCGAAAGCTTATCGGTTAATGCTATAGACTATATGCATTCCTCCACCCCCCACCCACC